ATTACCACACAATGTTAAAATACATGGCATATGTGAGCACTTTATAGATGTTTTGGACACTTGAAAATATTTTCAATCGATAAAGCAGATGTTGCTCTACTAAAATAGTCCAAAATCGAAAAATCGGTTTTGGATACCAAAATCGACTTTTTAGGCTGCCGTGGTGTACCTTAAGTAGGCCTGCAGAGAACCAAACCGAAGGTCTGGCACATGTGAGGAGAGGCAAGAAACAAGGACAGGAAGGGAAGTGATTCACACACATCTATAGACTACAACATGAAATTTTTGTATGAGTGGGGTTCACGTGCTAGTTTGTGTTTCTTTCTGCTTTTCGGCCCTAACGTGGCAGCATTTTTTTCACTCTCTACTCAAGACTCATCGAAGGCTTCACTGTATGAATAAACAGGCTGTGGTGAAGGAGGAGGCAAGAACTACTAGAAACAACCAATGATTGTCACACGTCGTTGGCCTTGTGGCTAGGCTCTCAGACTCGCGACCCTGTCATCGTGAGTTTGAAACCCATCAGGGGCCCGACGTTGTGTCTTTGGGAGAAGGCACTTGACAGACACAAATGTTCCTCACTTCACCCCGGTTGGAATGGGTACCCAGCTGTAGACAGTGAAAAATCTTGTCAGATTGTTTAAATGTTTAAGTGCTTGATCAGCTGCTTGAACTTTTTTACTTCCTGCATTTCTGAAAATGTTTTTGAGTGTTCTAGGATCTGCTGGGGTTATAATTTAGATTGTGGTCATAAAAGGCATCATAGTATTCATAGCGCCTATTATTGTCGAGCGGTGATATTGGCTGTATACAGATTTTTATGTATTATACAAATATTGAGACATCAAACAAAGTATCAAGGAACTCCGCAAATTTTCTCCGACGAGATTCCCATGACTCTCGTAAAGACAACAGACAGAAACAGATCATTGATAGCTCGGTTATTGGAATAAAGATATCAAGGTGCATCCCACAATACAATGTTCTGTTTCGTTATTTTTGTTCTAGTTTTTTATTGAAAGACAAGGAGTGGCCAAGTAATAGTCTAATTTGGTCACTCTGTTCGTTCTTTAGTTTCCTCAAAATTTGGAAAATTGACTTAAAAGCGAATGTGTGATTGGTTGTGGTTTGCTCTTAGAATTCTTCCCTATCAGATTTTTATCATACTGAATTCTCCCCTCTTTTTCTTAATATGTTCCTTTTTCGTAACACCTCTAATCTATGGTACTTGTATGACTTAATTGTGTTGCAAGAGTTATAAAACTGTTAGTAAAACTTATGACTTAAAACTTGACTTAAGCTTTCGTGGAATGACTCTGACGTTTTATGTGTCACGACGGGGTGGAATCGACGCTCGTCAATTTTTTGGCATATATTATGGAGTTATTAGTGTCATCTTAAAGCCTTTCCATTTGCCTTGCTTTTGATGAAAACAATACTCATTATCTTGGATACAAGTCGAGATATAAATTACGATTGAAGGAGGTGGGGTCTCCTGGTTTCAGAGGAAAAATTAGCGAGAAAATGGCTGCCAAAGTTTAGTTATTTTCCTTTAATTTAGAGCCCATGAAAATTTACATCTTTTAAGCATTTAATCAACGTTTTTAATTAAAATCCACACTGAAATGTGTTTTTAATAGGCATAACAGGTGTTGAGCCGAAATACAAAAATTCGATAAAAATTTCCAAACCTGCGGAAAAGTGCCAGTTTCTTCACTTTCATTACTTTGACGAGCCTTTGATTTCACCACGCTGCCTCACACATATATAATATACAATAGACATATTGCATATTTATATATATATATATATATATATATAAAAATATATAATACAATGCAGACTCTCTATTACGACCTTCGATATTTAACGACATCCTCTGTATAGCAACATGGTGCCCATATATATATATATATATATATATATATATATATATATATATATATATATATATATATATCATAAATAATTTTTGGTTGCCTCTCTCTAACGATATTTTTTCCTGGTCCAGACGATGTCGTTATAGAGAGGCTGCATTGTATATTAAATATATAACAATGTTTGTCGACAGGCAGCTGAGTCTGTGCCAGAACGACAGGCAGCAGCAGGTACAGCGCAGCCATCACTACCTGAGAGAGCCCGTCCACTTCCCGCCCACCTTCCATCAGCTGCTGCCCCGGACATCGTATGAGGTAGCATCTTCTTTTTTATTGTTGTTCTTTTCTAAATAATAATAATAATAATAATAATGATAATAATAATAATAATAATAATAAAGTACACTTTTATTTGTCCCAGAAGGGCACTTTGTTTTACAATGGCAAACATACATAGATACAGAAATACTTAATTATAAATACATACATGCATAAATATATGCATAAATACACACGTCTTTTCTTTCATTTACTTATTTTTACTGTCTATCTTGGGATTGTTGCCACAGCTGAAAAATCTGCGCATTGATCTAGTAAACTGACTTATGATTTTAATCAGGAAATCACTGTCAAAAAGGAACTTCTTTTTACAAATTTGTCTAGATCTAGAGAAAGTGTCAGTGCGATGATTTTATGGCTACGAGAGCGTGATAGGGCTGCAGTGAAAGAAATACTACCGGTACTAAAATCAAGAATGATTCGAAGTGGTGTTGCTTGTTTGTGACATTCGGCATTCAAACGTGAAAATGAAGGAAACTTAGGATATACCCTGGGTAACCCTATACTCTATCGTCAAGGTACATGTCAATTCATTATTCCCAGCTTTGCCTTCTGTCAATTGTGCGATGACAAATTGATTGGATTATAGATTATAGTGACTAGCAATGGCAAGAGGAACCTGCCTTAAAACATTGCCAGCAATGGAAAGATTTATAGGCAGAGAAATCAAACAAGACAAAATCTTGGTGAAAAAAATCGGTGTTATGGGTTGTTGGCAATCTCTACAAACAAACAGGCTCCCAAATGCCATTTGGGGTCGGTGGCCTAGTGGTTAGGCTCTCGGACTCGCAACCGTAAGGTCGTGGGTTCGAATCCCGTCAAGGGCCCGACGTTGTGTCCTTGGGAAAGGCACTTTACACGAATT